AGTGTTCTATCTATTTACTACAGATAGCCAGTACCTTTTACTAATGCCTTATTTTTTACTGCATCTTTTCCTTTCATGCTGTTTGTAATTATCCGATTTATCAATTACAATGTTATAAGTATACAATAAATTTCTTATTATTACATCATTGCTATTAATACATTTTTTACATTTTTATTATTATATCATTATTAATATTATCATTATATTATTTTGTAATTATCGTTTAATTTTAATCGCATAATTCTCAAAATATATAAAATATCGTAAAATGTAATAATATCGAACTGTATATTAATATCAAGACAATTTGAAAGATACGTTGCTTAATTGCATATCAGGAAATCCGATTCAGTTTTCATCAAAAGACGGATACTTAATCCATGAATGATGCGGCTTTACAAATAACGGTGTCGCAGGTAGCGAGCCAATTTCTGTCAAAGAAAAACAGCGCGATACGCGCGGACGAGCCTTCGCAACTCAGCCAATCGACTAGCAAGGTCATCTGGACATGAGCCAATCAAATAAGCTTTTTCATAGCGAGTCTTCTCGATTTATGATATGACGTTGTACATCATCCGATACACGTGCGAGCCAAATCATGGTTTTCCATGAGCCGAGACATGTTTGTTCATTTGAAAAATAACATACGTATAAGTATTTATCGAGCAATTTATATTATTAGGTAAAATAAATCTCGTGATATACAATTGCCCTAGACATTTTGTGCCAGCACAAAATATTTATCACTATTCATTTTTTTGAAATGTTATTATATATAAATATTTTATACTTTTCATAATATTTATTACAACATTTCAATGAATATTTTATAATATCTATAATAAATGTTTATGATCTGTGCAATCTAAGACCGTCAAAATATTTCCAAAACATTTTAAAATAATTCTTATAAATATTTAAAAATATTTTAGAAATATTTTAGAAATATTGTGTGCTGTCTAGGGCTTTTTATTTTATGTCCTACATACATTTACTTATTTTTTAAAAACGTCAATAACAATCAGGCAATCATTATTTCAATAACTCTTTCTATAAAGAATTTTGGCAGCTTATTCAACAATATTTTCTTTTAAGCGATAATGTCTTAAAGATTAAAGGAATTTCAATGTTTATTTGTAAACATTTTTCGCCGAATAAAAAAGTTGAAGATCTTGTAATTATTTCAATGTCTATATCCTGATGGATGCAATCCACCTAGCACTATAATACTTTGAAACATTTGATTAACCAATCAGAAGAAAAAAATGTAATTAGCCAATCAAAGAGAATGCTTCAAAGCATTTGTAGCATCCAGTGAATCATAGCCAAAATCGTAGTATTTTCGAAAAATCATTACGCAGTATGACATCATTGATATTATATCGATATTAAATATTTATAATAAAAATATAAAATAAATTTAGCAAACTAAAACAATTTTTTATTCACTGTGCCAATTATTTTTTTATTAATAAATAAAAGTATGAGTACGCATTTAGCTGTACTACTTTAAAGTAAAGTTTTATTTCTTGATATTTTGCTAATAAATACAATAACGTTTGTGTGATGTTTAACAGAACGAGAAAAATGCGATGCTTACATGTTTGGACATTAGAGTATTAACTATCGATACGGAAATGAATCATCAGATAAGAAAACAAGAACGAGAGTGTCAACATACAAATGTCAAAGCGCAAATAATAATAGCAAAATAATAATTGCGACAACAAATAATAATCAATTTAATCGCGTTAATCATTTCAGTCGAAATTAAGCTTTTTTAAAAAAAACCAAATCGAAGAGTCAGATTAAATAAATTAATAGAGAGCATTTCCGAGCTGTCGAAATCATTGAGACGCACGTAGTAGCGGATGTACGTGTCAATGTTTACGCGATTGGTCTTCTTGCGTGAGAGAAGCGCGTGTCACGAGATTATGAAGGCTATCGGATACAAACAGAAGGCCGGATGTAAACAAACGTGATCGTATCATAACAAGATCGTCTCTCAACTAGGTACCGAGAACCTGCTGACTCTTTGCCCTCCATCCTCCTTTTTGCTCGATGCCGTTGCACCGCGGAATACCTGGGGGGGTAGTGAACGCGTCGCGCGACTACCTCTGGTTGGCCCGCCAGTGTCGTACGATCTTATTTACGATTTTACGAAGCGAGCTAGCCAACTCAAGCCAACTCACCGAGACATCACGTGCTGCTTTCACGTGTGATATAAGAAGCGAGACAGTGCAGGCTGCATTTAGTGTAATATCAAACGAAGGTGGAGACGTTACGGTCAATGCGATTGTATCGCTGATATATATTATATCAGTATACATATATTATTTTCTTTTTCTGTCATTGTAAAAATTGTGTGACTTTTTCAAAGAAATGTGTTGACTCTTATTTTGCCCTTTATTTATTGTTACTTATTTTATATTGTAAAAATTGATTTGATTAAATCTGTTAGTTTCCTTGTGTGTGATCATCAACATTGAACAATCAAACGATTCAATTCTGTAATCGGACTGTAATTTCGACTATTTTGAGCTCTACTGAAATATTCACGGAGAGGAATGTGGAAAAACAACGATAAATGAATTGTGTGATTTAATTGTACCTCGTGACATTTGATTTAAATATCTCTGAGGAAGAAGGAGATATAGAGAGAGTGTGTGGTGTCGATATATAAGTATCGTAAAATTTGAAGTATTCACAATGGCTTTTAATAGACATGCAAAGCACTGCCAAAAATGTGTTCTGTTAACTAGGTGAGTGAGATAACTATATTTGGTATTAATTATTAGAATTAACTAGGTGTGTATGTATACGTGTATGCATATACTTTGATTTACAACGAATAATAGATTTGTTAGAAATTTGTTTTAATTTCTTATTATTGAAAATTTAATTCTATTGAAATGATTCTGGAACGATTCCGACCAAGTTCTGCGATTTATTGAATAAACATAATAGAAATAATAAAAATAATATTAATATTTGTTTGGTAGCATGGAAAAAATTCAGATAGTAACAACAAATTATATATAACTCGAAAATTTTATTATAGATTATAAATTTTGCTGGTTGATTTATAATCAATTTATAACGTCTATTAATTTCAATTTTGATTTAATTACTCTTTGTTTTTTTTTCTAATTCTTAGAATTAAAAAAAAATAAATTAAAATGAAATTTAATCGAGATGAAAATTAATTTACTTTTGTAGAAACAATGGACATTTATCAATTTAATAATGCCCGTTTCTAATAATTAATGTAGATTAATTTTAATCTTGATTTAATCTATTGTTCATCTTTTGATAATTCTAAAAATGATAAAAAGATAAAGAGTAAATTAAACAAGTTAATCTGATGGATCTGGGTACACGTTATATCAAAGCTTGATCGAAGGTAGCTTAAATTATTAATTTAATTCGCATGCGTCATCGCCAGTTGTAATTGCATCATTTCGCCCAGCAAAATTATACGGAAATGCGTATTACGTCATCACCTTAAATTATACTTGATTTTTTTTAGTTGAACTTCTTGCACAGTAATTTTTTTAGTTGAA